GGCAAAGAAGCTCCGTGGCTGGAGCCTGCTGCCACTGCAGAATTATTTGGGTAATCAAATCTCCGCCGGCGCCTTGCCGGGAGATCGCGCAGCGCTGGGTGACAGCGACAAGCCAGCAGGTAAAATCCCAAGTGAAATAAATGCAAAAGAGACGCGCTGGGGAGAAGATGCTCCTAATTACAACCGACAACAATGGGCTCTTAATTGGCTCACGCTGCGTGGGGAGGGTCCTCTCCTCATCTGCCCGAGCCGACAGGCAGCCTGCGATGGCGTGCTCAGACACTGTTAACTCTGGAACCTACCAATGTCCCAGCAGGTGGTCCCGTGCTCTCACCCGCGCAGCCATATCCCTTGTGCCATCACCAACACTATCACCCTGTTAATATTCACCCTGTGTATAACCCACCACCACGAGGGTCCCCATCCCTGGGGGAGGACACCCGGTGAATCTCAGGGGGTCACAGTGTCCCAATCTCTGGGGGATGTTGCCTCACAGAGGGTCATGCTGAGGAAGAGGCGGGGGGAAGAAGCAGGGGGGAGGGAGAACGAGGGAAAGCGTTTTGGTGCCGGGCTCTGCTGCCATCGTGTCCCTCCCCCTGCAGCCAGAGCCGCCCAGTGCCATCCATCTTCCCTCGTTAAGGAGCTGCCTCGTCACCACGTGCCCGCCAGCCCTTCGTGCTGACCAGGGAAGATAAATGGCAGCGCCAGGCTGGGCTGAGCCGCTCCCGGCACCACGGTGGCAGAGAAAGTGGGGGCTGCCACCAAGTCCCCCCCTCGGATGGTCTCATCCCCCTCGTGCTGCTCTGTGCCTCAGTTTCTCCGTGCCACAGCCCGGCGCAGCCCCGGGGGGTGGGAACCATGGGGGGGACATGGCCCCTTGCCCCAGCAGCTGGCTCTGCTGCAGCTGCTGTCACTGACCCCGGTGACAATGCCGGGGGGTGTCACCAGCCCTGGGGGCACTGGGATGATCTCTGACATGGCCGGCTGCGCCCCAGGGCCCTGGGCTGGCAGGGGGACGGGGAGTAGCGGGGCTGAGCTGCTCCCGGTGACTCTCAGTGCCTCGGGGACACCATGTGCGCCACGTGCCACGGCCACCATGGCCCAGGACCCCAATGTGTGGCTGTGGGCGCTCCCCAGCACCCCCAAGTGTAGTGGTGGGCGCCCCCCAGCACCCCCAGACATATGCCGGGTGCCCTCCCAGCACCCCCAGGCACAACACTGGGTGCCCCCAGAATCCCCTCCCAGCGAGGGGGTCCCCCTTGGGGACTGTCCCCAGGCCCCCAACCACAGGGACCCCCCCGGGGCTGTGCCCCTCCCCAGGCCTTTGGCTACACGAGGCAGCCAGGGCCACAGTCACCCCCACCACGGGGACCCCAGAATCGCCCCGGTCCAACCCTGTCCGTCTGTCCGTCCAACCATCCAGCACCTGCCCCCACCCTGCTGCCCCACACGCCTGTCTATGGGCTAATACCAATAAGAATAATTAATGCTAATTAACCACCAGGACCAGCTCCCTCCCAGCGCCGGGGCTCCCCTGGCTCTCATTAACTCCAGCCCCGATGCAGGGTGATGGGCTGTGCCCAGAACCAGCAGCGCCCCGAGGAAAGTGGGGGGGTCAGACGGGGACCCCCAAGTTAGAATTCCCTAGGAGGAGGCTGGCATCGACCCCTGTCTACCAGGAAACACCCCGGCAACCCCGACCCCCCAGCTTTGCCTGGGATGGAGCATTTTTGGCAACAAATCCCTAATTAACCCAAATTTCTCTTTTTGGGGGTATTTTTGGGGTACCTTTTTGAAACTCTCCCGCTGGAGCCAGCCCGCTGAAACGCTCCTCTGCCTCCCGAGCCGCTTCTTTATAAATATTGGAGCGGCAATACCTCGTTAGTAATTAACAACCAGTTAATTATGCTGCATCGCGCGCCCGACCGAGAGCAGTTCCTCTTGTCGAGGGGCTCCGTAGCTTCTGGAAATTCATCCAGGAGCGTCCGGGTGCATCAATCCCCCACCGAGCTGGGGGGTCAGAGCTCAGTGGAGGGCAGGAGAAGGCAGGAAGGATTGAGGGGGTTCCCCAAAAATACTTTTGTGGTTGAGGTGTTTTTTGGGGATGCTCAGTCTGGAGTTACACAGATGCTGCTTGGGAGAAAGAGCCAGGGGTGCCAAGCGTCGCCAGGACCCTCCAAAATTTGGGACTGGAGTGGGGGGGACACAAAATAAATCCCAATAAAAGAAAATTTAAACTGTTTGGATGGAGAAAAAAAGGCTGAGCGGCTTCTGCCTCCGCTCCGCTCCTGGCTCAGGGGTTTTAAGAGCTGAGGGGTGAAGTGCTGTGGCCGTGACAGGGCTCCCAAATCCGCCCCCCCACCTCCCAAGCTGTTTTTGGGGGTTGATAACACAAGTTTGGGTTCATTTGGTGTCGTACATCCTCAGGATAAGGATGCACCACAGGGCTGGATGCTGGCAGAAGATGGGAAGTGGGATCGGGGTGGGATGAATCCTGGTGAGGATGCCGGTTGTGGTGACACCCAAGGGAACTGAGCTCAGGTGATGTTTTGGGGGTCACGACCACGTCTTGGGCCTCAGGTCATGGCTGGGGGGGGGACACAGTGTGAGAAAGGGGCAGCACTATGGACATCACCCGAAAACAGCGGGGATGGAGGGGCTGTGTCTCAGGATTGGGAGGATTTCAGATGGACGGGGTCTGGGGGGGATGCCGGAGTGGGGTGGGGGACAGGGACGGAGCCAGACTTGGGGTGTCCCCCCATGGTGTCCCCTCGCAGCCCGGACGGGATGAGGACATCTCTCCTCATCCAGCGGCAGCAGGACTGGCTCTGGGCCGGGGGGGCTGCACCCCACCATTGGGGCAGAAGCTGCCCCCTCCAGGAACTGCCCCCTGTGAAGGAGCCTTGTCCCCGCTGGGGATGATGGGATGGCCGGGGAGGGCAGGACACCCTGGGGACACTGTGGGGACACTCCAAGGCACCCCAGAGGCATGACAGGGCACGTCTGTGGGGCCAAGGAAAGGACCAGGGGACCCTTGGGGACACGGCAGGGCAGCCTGGCTGTGGTGGCAGCGTGTGCCCCCAGGGCTGGGGATGGGAGCAGGATGGGGCACCCCGGGGGTGCACCCGGAGCCCAAAACTGCTACTGGAGAAAGGATGGGGCACCCCTGGGGTGCATCTTTGGGGCTGGGAGCAGGATGGGGCACCCCAGGAACACACTCAGGGCCCATCATCGCTACTGGGAAAAACATGAAGCCTCTTGGGGGCATATCTCCAGGGCTGGGAGAAGGATGGGCCATGCCGTGGATGCATCTCTGGAGCTGGGAGCAGGACAGGGCACCCTGGGGATGCACCCAGAGCCCATCATGTCCCAGGGAAAAGGACAGGATCCCCCGGGGGTGCATCTCCATGGCCAGGAGATGGATGTGGCACCCTGGGGATGCACCCAGAGCTCATCATTGCCACTGGGAGAGGGACAGAGCATCCTGGGGTACATCTCTGGGGCCGGGAAAAGGATGGGGCACACCATGGGAAGCACCCAGAGCCCATCCTTGTCACTGAGAGAAGGATGGAGCACCCCAGGGGTGCATCTATGGGGCCAGGAGAAGGACAGGGCATGCTGGGGGTGCATCTCTGCAGCTGGGAGAAGGACGTGGCACCCCAGAGATG